TCCCAAATCAGCCCCTGGCTCCTCTGAAATTACCTGTGACCTGTACAGAACAAACCCTCAGTCAGAATTTTTTATAAGTGTTCTCAAATGTGTTTATTTTGCTGAAAATGTTTGTCCTGAGTGTCCCTTCATGACTTGACTATTAGCGATGTCATAGCAGTTGGACACTCCACATGGCTGATATTGTAGCCTATTTCTGAACATTTTATGAAGAGCTTGAATACCTATAATAACCCAACCTGAATTTTCAATTAATTATCCAGGTAGTGGAAGCAGCATACCCTGGTCATATCTTCATCTGCGTCCTCCTCCTCTTGCTGCACCTCGGTTTTCTTGGCACGGGTCTTCTTCCTCTTGAAGTAACCTCGCAGCCTCTTCCAGAAGGACTTCTTGGCGGGGTTAGGTGCGTCATCCTCGACCAGCTCAGCTCTCACCTCCTGGAGTCTCCTCGGGCACGGCCTGGGTGATATGGTGGACCAGGATGGGCGCAACCTCCTCTGGGTGCTGGCGAGGTTCTGCTCCGAGGCACCGGAGCCCAGTGATTGGGCCGACCTGGCCCGGCGCTTACCGGACTCCTTTCTCACCATCTCCAGCGATGGTACCGCTCCTCGGGTAGACCGAGAAGGGCCAGGACTCATTGGTGCTGGTACTGGAGCATATGCTGGTGAGGCTGCATTCTGATCCGTCCCTGCTGGTCACCCAAGCGGCTTTGGGAGTGTGTGGGATGTCCATGGCTTGGCTCTCCGCAGATGAGAGCCGAAGTAATGGGCTATGACGATACATGATCACAAGCAAGTGGCAAGCTGTAGTAGTAGGCTAACAGCAGGTTGTCCAGAAAATCATAAAACCGGTGTTTGAGTTATAAACAGCTATTCGGACCTTTAATAGCCTACCCCATTATGATGCAAGAATCCATGTTGAGCCAAAGTAACAACAGGGCTATGGTCAAAAGTAGTGCACTATACAGGGAATAGGGTGCCATTTGGGACACACTCTGTCTTGTGTTTTTGCCATTTCTGTTGCATTCAAGGCCAAAGAGACAACTGCTACAGAATAAAAACAATATGGATGGGAGCCTACCAACCAATTCCCCCTCTCTCTCTTTGATCCCTACCAAACGTTTGGAGGCATACTGCTCTCCTAAAATAAAATGGGTAGCAAATGTTTGGTGACTAGCCTAGCGCAACAGCATCTGTTCAGGTACTGACAGGATAGTGTTTTCCTAAGGAATATATTTTCTATATTAAACACTGTGTATGCTCTGTAGCAGTGGTGTAGTGGAGGGTAAACACAGTTTACCCACCTTTTTATTTTCTACCAACTTGCCAGCAGGCATAGTTAGACAAGCTAGCTACTCTAACTTGATTGATAGCCTGAAATGGCTTCTTGGTAGCTAGTTATGAGTTTGGGAGATTGGGAATCTATCTGTGCAAGCTAAAGCCAACTTCATAAAATTGCTAGGTGGCTAGTAGTATTACAGAGAAACAAAATGTTTTGTTTTACAAAAAAATTAACTAAGGACAAATCTTAGGGGGCACATGCCCCCTATGGACATGACGCCTCTGGCTTCCTACATTATATTATTATGGACAAAAGAGCAAGATTGTTTTTATTTGTCAAATGACAGCCAAGCATTGATCATCATGTCACCAGAATAAGACCCTCTAGGCTATTTATTGGAAAGAGCATCAAGCTCATCACTGTGCACTTTCACCACCCTGTGAAGTTCATCAGAACTTATTTCATTTACATTTACATTTTTAGTCATTTAGCAGACGCTCTTATCCAGAGCGACTTACAGTTAGTGAATACATATATATATATATTTTTTTTTAGACTGGCCCCCTGTGGGAATCAAACCCGCAACCCTGGCGTTGCAAACGCCATGCTCTATCAACTGAGCTACATCCCTGCCGGCCATTCCCTCCCCTACCCTGGACGACGCTGGGCCAATTGTGCGCCGCCCATGAGTCTCCCGGTCGCGGCCGGCTGCGACAGAGCCTGCATTCGAACCAGGATCTCTAGTGGCACAGTTAGCACTGCGATGCAGTGCCTTAGACCACTGCGCCACTCATTTCATCTGTAGCCTAATAAACTGCATGCCTTCCCGAGTTGTAGTGGGAGCAGGGCCGGACTACCACTTTTAACAGCTAACTTCCTACATTTCAACACATTTTGCCATGGGGCAGAGAAAAATGTGCAATTTATAATACTATTCTACACATTTTTCCATGAGGATGAGAGAACATTTTGCAGTTTTAAAGCTTATTTCCTGCTATTCTACACATTTTGCCATTAGGCTGAGAAACATTTTCAGTTTTAAAGCTACTTTTTTGCAATTCTACACATTTTAACATAGCATATGAACACGTCATAATCAATCTGGGACCCCCCCCCCCCCCCCCCCCCCCAAATAATCCGTCCCTGAGTGGGAGGACTATACATCATATCATCACATGACTCTTTACTTCGATATGATGGTTATTTCAATATTTGCGCATAGTCGTTTCCACTGATATTTGTCGCATAATTCATTTAACCGACACAAAAAAATCCCACCTTCTCTAGCGTACTTTGTTTTGTCGACATCTGGAAAGTTTCCGACAAATTAGCTGTTTCCATCAGGCCTGTCTTGACATTTTCTATGCGACGTGTACTTCACTCACATATAAAGGTTGGATGGAAACCTGGTTAGTTTTCTACTTGGGTATGAAAAGGTAGCAAAAAAAATGCCACAGGTACAGCGACAAACATTTCATATAGGACAGCAGCCCACATTTATCAGAACCAAAAAATACACGTTTTTACCACGTTTGTGTTACATAAATTGCGTTATTTTACACCTATGAGGGGAATCAAAGGTGACGTGAACTGTGGTTAAGGATTGTATTGGACAGAAATACTTGAGCACTTAATTTTTCTACATAAACCACGTTTCCATCAACAGTTTTTATGCGAGTAAAGTCATACCGTATAATAAAAAAATCACAACAGCTGTGATGGAAACAGGTAGTTTCAGTGCAATTTTATTAACGCAGACAGATAATTTTTTTGTTCCGACATGGTGGCTTATTTTTGTCTGTACAATTAATTATGCGAGAAATGGCAGTGGAAACACCTTTCTGCACAAATATTGATATAATAACCATCATATATCTACGTCAATTTGGGAGTCATGCGATGACATGATGTGGTCCTCCAACTACGACTCGGGAAACCATGCAGTTTATTAGGCTAAAATAAGATAAAATAAGTTATGAACTTCACTGGGTGGTGAAAGTGCACGGTGATCTGAATGCTCCTTTTCAATAAATATCGAGGGTCTTATTCTGGTTACCGATGTTTGACAAATACTCTTGCTTTTATCCATAATAATCTCATCATGTAGACTAGCCTACCTGCACAACCTACCCGCACCGTATCTGTGAGCTGTTGTCTAGAGCCCACATGCCAAGACCAGAGTAGGCACATTTGCTATTTAACGCAACAGTTTGTGACAAAACTATCAGTAGAGTTGAAAATGCAATGGAAACACAATTAACTTTAGATTTTTATTCGGTACATGAACACTTCAGCGGAAAAGTAAATTGTGTGCACTACGTCATCACGCACCACTGATTTTTTATCTGCAACAAGTCAGTTTGGTGGAAAAACACTGGTGGGAAAATGTGTATATTTTCCTAATGCAGATCTTTGAATATTCGCATGAAAATCTGTCACGAATTGGATGGAAACCTAGCTACAGAGGGGGAAACAATGTGCCACATTTTTTTATTTGGAACATAAAACAAACAGTATTTAAAAAAATTGTCAAAAAAAAACACACTAAACAAAACCCTTTCCTACTGGCACAAAGCAACATCCCTTTGAAAAACATTCTTCCAATGGCCTTCAGTATAACTCCCACAGCTGCACTCCATGTGAGAAAAAACATTTTCCTTTACGTCCTGACAGATGTTGAGCTCCTGAAGACAACGGCTAAGTATACTGAACAAAAATACAAACTGAACATGTAAAGTGTTGGTCCCAGAAATGTTCCATATACACAAAAATATTTCTCAAATTTTGTGCACAAATTTGTTTACATCCCTGTTAGTGAGCATTTCTCCTTTGCCAAGATAATCCATCCTCCTGACAGGTGTGGCATTTCAAGAAGTTGATTAAACAGCATGATCATTACACAGGTGCACCTTGTGCTGGGGACAATAAAAGGCCACTCTAAAATGTGCAGTTGTGTCACAACACAATGCCACAAATGTCTCAGGTTTTGAGGGAGCGTGCAATTGGCATGCCAACTGCAGGAATGTCCACCAGAGCTGTTGCCAGAGAACTGGATGTTCATTTCTCTACCATAAGCCGCCTCCAACGTTGTTTTAGAGAATTTGGCAGTACGTCCAACCGGCCTCACAATCGCAGACCACGTGTAACCACACACGCCCAGGACCTCCACATCCAGCTTCTTCACCTGCGGGATAGTCCAAGACCAGCTACCCGGACAGCTGATGAAGCTGAGGAGTATTTCTGTCTATAATAAAGCCATTTTGTGGGGTCAAACTCATTCTGATAGGCTGGGCCCGGCTCCCCAGTGGGTGGGCCTATGCCCTCCCAGGTCCACCCATGGCTGCGCCCCTGCCCAGTCATGTGAAATCCATAGATTAGGGCCTACTTTATTTATTTAAATTGACTGATTTCCTTATATGAACTGTAACTCAGTAAAATCGTTGAAATTGTTAAATGTTGCGTTTATATTTTTGTTCAGTATACATTGTTAAGAATAATGATAGTGTCCTATCACGGTACAAAAAAAATACAAATCTTCCACGATAATTGCACCCGTATATAGTTCTCACATTTGAGGAGTAGTGCACTTTGTATATCTATCTCTTTCTGCTGCTCCATGAGGAAAGTCACTCGGGAGAATCAGCTTAAGATCAGCGCAGGGACCTTTTGAAAGGTTCCAGCTCACCAGGTAAGTGGGGGTCAGTGTGCGTGTCTGTCTGTGAGTGGGACACAAAGGTTTCCTTTGTATTATTGGCTTAACCAACGGTGACGAATCGGCTGCCTTTGCTGGTCTGCGCAGTGGCGATGCGCTGGTCTTTCAGGATGCGGAATCGCTCATTCAAAGTCATCGCCGTCTGCTGTGATAACAGTTTGGATAGAGAAAGCTTGTCAGAAAACAATTAATTCACTTCACACAACTGGGTCATGTTAACTAGGCACAATATTGAGGCAAACTGGCCGACACAGGGAGGCACTATCTGAACTTGTTCAATACGAAACGCTTGTCTACCTTTGCAGTGCACGTTTTAAAACAGTTTCACGTTTTGATACAGCGTGCCCTAATGCATAGGACCCTGTATTCACCAATTCACAGGGTGAAACCTTGATTTTGAACCACTTGGGGGAGTTATACTCTTGACTACTCAGTTCAAACAACCGTTCATAAAATGTATACTAATGCTAATCAGAACAAGATCTGAGCCACTTGGGCTGCGTTTACACAGGCAGGCTAATTCTGATCTTTTCCCAGTAATCAGTATTTTGACCAATCAGATCTTCTGCCAATAATTGGGCAAAAGCTCAGAATTGGGCTGCCTGTGTAAACGCAGCCTCTGTGTGATTGTGCACTTGTATCTTATTCTCACCTGTTTCCCCACACTGTTGATGTCAAACTGCAGGGGGACACCTTTAGGTGGGACTGGTTTCTTCTCCTCCTCCACCTTGACTGGGGCAGGGCTGATGGGTGCCGAGGGGTGCAGGGACCAAGCACTGGGAGGCCTTGGGGAACAGAGAAGAAAATACATGGTGAGTGGTTGTTTATCTAGGCCCAATAGTATTTCCTATGTGAATTGGCCAGGGAAAACTCTGGCCCTTCATTATGATCAGGTCATATGTTAAGGAAAAACTACTGGTCCTGTGTATTCAATCAGCCTCTGTTCTGATAGCGGTCTGTGTCAGCTCATAATGGGACTCACTCAGGCTGTGTCATGGTGGCAGTGGGGTTGTCGATGGAAACAGTCAGGATCCCACTGCTGTTTGTTGACGTGCGCCACCTGGTGGACAGACAGGCAAACAGCCACAGACAACATAGCGTAAGACAACCTGTGGATAATGACAAGCAAAGGTAACATTTGTGGTCTTCAAGAATGATGAGGGTTCACTATATTATACAGAGGAATGTGGTCTGTCAAGAGGTGACATTCAATGTGTTCATTCTCTCACACACAAACATCCATCCACACTAGGACAGCACGATATGGGCAAAAAAAATCTCATTTAGAATAGAATGATCAATATAATTTCATGGTTGGAACTTGGAATATATTGGGCACTTGGAATGCAGTTTTGTTGGGCATGACAACAAATGAAAAAGTAAGGGATGAGATGCTTGTGACAGTAGGAACCAAAGTGGTGGTCAGTGATTCCCATGGGACCCTAATTAGATTTTAGAATATTATTCGCCTTATCCTCTGATTAAGAACAAGCTGTTGCACTCCACCACTGGTAGTAGTCTGTATTAGAGTAAAAGTTTGCCCTATCTCAGTGGATCCAGCTAGCTAGCTAACATTAGCAATTAGCATTAGGGGCAAACAAATGTTTTACATTTAAGTCATTTGGCAGACGCTCTTATCCAGAGCGACATACAGTTAGTGAGTGCATACATTTCCATACTGGCCCCCCGTGGGAATCGAACCCACAACCTTGGCGTTGCAAGCGCCATGCTCTACCAACTGAGCTACACGGGGCCATTAGCAAGCAAGCTGCAAATGTGCCTAAGACCAACAAGCGTTTTGAAGAGAGCAAGTTACACAAACAAATAGTATAGAAAATATGTGGATTTATATTAAAAAGCAAAGTGGAAAGCTGCATCGTTATTGTTTGAAAAATGTGTTGACTGCATGCTGCTGTTTGGTCAATGGATGCAGAGTGAATCTCGAGCATTAGGAACTGCCTGCTTGAGTGACAGGAGGCGGGGCTTGGTGTGTGTGGGATTGGGAAGAGGCCAAAAGAGGAGAGAGAACTCTATCAACTCGAGCAATAAATCCAAAGTTTTAAAAAAAACGGTAGGCAGCTAAGTGGCGTTTCAAAATATCGTAGCCTCTTGCAACATGGATATTTGCAGCCCTAATCCACACACACACACAGGTCAAATACTCACTGGCGAGATCTTACTGGAGTAGCGGGTTGAGAGGTTGGAGCTGGCTTCTGCACCTGGGTGTGAACCTGCAGTATGGAAGAACGTACAGGTGAGACAACTTTTCATGCACTGGGTCTGTTGTAAAAAAGGCTGCCTAGGATCACAGACACCTACGAGCAAATAGAGAGCATACCTTCAGGCCCCTGTGGAAGAGAAATGTGGCCTGGCGGGCTTCTCTCTGGGTTTGATGGACAGGGGGCAAGGGCCTACAAGGAGAACACAAGACGGATGGTTGGTTGAGACAGGAACGGAGATTAAAATGTTCCATGACGTCCTTCGTTTGTGCAATGTCATTGGAGATAACTTGGAAAGCGTTAACAGGAGACAGTGATTCTCAGTGTCAGACAGAGCCAGTCCCAATTCGTTCCCTACCCTTTTGCCTTGAAGTTAACCCTTCGATGTTTGCAGATTTTACAGGCCTGGATAGGTATAAGATGTGTATATGGCGCAGGGTTTCAATTAGCCGGTAATAGCCGGCTTTTGTCCCCCCCCCCCCCAAAAAATAGAAAAGCCGATAAATAAAATTGGCGGCGGCCAACACGAAGAAAAAAATCCCATTGCGAATGTATGCTTTTTAGCCTATTCACTGATGGAAATATCAGTCTATGTAAATTCATTTGACTGGTCATTTTTATTAGTCTATAGGTTAATTTGCATAATCTAGTGGAATTAAATTGGCGCATGTACAGTATATTCGTTATGTAGACTATTTATCAAACGTGTAGGCCTACAGCATACAGAGCCTTTGAGTGGAAAATCTGTAAGACAGCACAAGAGCTGCTGCTGGAGCATCTTGTGGTGCTTTCAAGACAACTAGGTAAAATCATGACGTCAGTGATCTTCATGTCGGAAAGTTGGAGCTCTAGAAAGAGGCTTGAGTTCCCGAGTTGGAATTCCAAGTTGGATGACCGATCAAACGATTTTTCCCCAGTCTGAGCTCGTTTTTCCCCCAGTTCCCAGTTGTCTTGAACACACTGAAGTCGGAAGTCAGAGCTCACCAAGTTGTTTTGAACCGACGACAACAGAAGGCAGGCTTTATCAGCGCGTCACACACCACTTTGCAATGAACTGGAGGCAGTATGCATTTTGAAAACATATACTTAATTGTTTGAAACTAACGTTTTAATACATATTATGAGGCATGTCTTACCTTGCTTCAAAATGTCATCTCTGTCACATGAAAGCGCTCACATCTGCAGTTCCCTTTTGAAAAGGGTGTTTTCCCACTTATTTTATTATAGAACGAACATTCGCTCCTAGTCTACTGCCTTGTGCGTATTGCTGTGCTTATAATGTGAAGAAATAATAATTAATCAACATTTAAAGCTAAACGTTCTGATCTGTTGCGTCAGACTGATTGCTTTTTAACGTTTAAAAAATTAAGTTTAGCCTAGGCCTAATGGTTGTATGAATTTCGGATCTATCGGCCCCCTACTGTCCATAGTCTGTTTGGAATATGCTATTTATTTCTCAACAAGCTGTTAATCGTCGTTGGCTCAAGAAAAGTAAATGTGGACAGTTATTCTAACGTGTTTAAAGTGCACATCAGAATTAGGTTAGAAGGACTGCACATCGTTGCATTCTCGACTTGCATGTTCTGTTAATATGAATTACCTTATTCTAAATATGATTCGTCATTCTGAGCACCGTGGGTGGACGCCGTAATCAGGTTACTCACCCAATGCACATGGGTCTGGTACATTTCTAAAATGTCCGGTAAATTCAAATGTTGCCGGTCAAATGTCCGCCGCCACATTTTCCTAATGGAAACCCTGATATGGTGCTTCCACCAAATTACTTAAATTATACAGATCTGCAAACATTGAAGGGTTAGGGCCAACGGGAAGGGGTAGATTGCGAATTCGGACCGGCTGCCAGTGTGACGTGGTCATATTTCATTGAGGGGAGTATTCCAGGAGTAAATGCTGCAATTGTAATTTCGTTACCGTCCCTGCAGCTGAACGGGTCTCGTCTGTGTCGTCGTGTTGGGGCCTCTCTGTACATCTGTCTGTCTGTATGGCCTCCTCTGGCCTTGCGTCTGTCTGAATTGGGCTGATTGGATAAAAGGCCGCGATTGATTGTTGAAGGGCCGCGATTGGTTGTTGAAGGGCCGTGATTGGTTGTTGAAGGGCCGTGGTTGGTTGTTGAAGGGCCGTGGTTGGTTGTTGAAGGGCCGTGGCTTCTGAGAGGGAAAACGTAAATAGAGATGGTGAGCAGAGGAGCGAGGGCTCCTTTGGAAACTAACTCTCCCCTCCTCTTTGATCCCAACAAGGGTTGTGTTCATTAGGCATGAAAGAGGAAAACGGTCCAAAACTGAGTGCAACATTTTGCTAGTGTGCCCTAATGAACATGTTGCAGATGTACGAGCCCTTAGTACCTGGTTGACAGTCGGTCGGTTGAGCGGACTGATGCCTTTCTGTCCCGCTGCAGTCTTCCGGGCCGCCAGTCCAGTGATGACCCCTTGACCCCGGCGTCGACCAACCGGAGGGGGAATCTTCCGGCCTCTTCCAACACCAGCTCTCATTACCCCCCCTCTTGCTACACCACCTCCTGGAAATGACACGTGGACAATTCAAATGTGATGTCTTGGACAGGTCTAACTAGTTCATTGGTATTATAAGTGGAGCTAAAGTCTGACATTTAAAATATCACAGGCATGATTGTATGAAGTTATTCAACAATAGAGATCTAACTGCAGTAATGAACACCACAAACAAAGCTACTGTACACACCTCTTTGGGACTGTCCCCCAGCTCTCGCGCCAACTGGTTTCCCTTGGACAAAGCCCTTTCCCTTCTGTAATGGCCTGCGGTTCCCTAGGCCCGGCCTCCGTGCTTGTTGCTCTTTCTTGTTCAGACGAATGATATCATCTAGGGAAGTAAGAAGAACAAAACAATATTATAAATTGACTTGTCAGTGACCTCTTTTTCTAGTCAATGTTAAAATCAAAATGCCAAGCTTATGAATTAAAGTTTGACTCTTGGAAGTCTGGGCTGACTTTGTACATTATAGTTAGCTACATTCATCATTCACACTGACGTTTGGATGGGCAAAATAAATGAACATAGCTAAGTGTTAAACTCATAGACCTGCAAAATATTAACTAGCTACTGTAGCTAACGCGTTAGCTGGCTTGGTCGCATTGAATGAACGCAGCTAGCTAACAAAGTTGCCAGAGTAGTAAGCGCTTTTAGAGTTTGAAATAGACAGTGGAATGTATGTAAAATAAATATATTTAGTTATATAACACATTATGACCGTTTAGTTAGCTAGCTAACGTTACATGCGAACATTAGCCAGTGGCTAGTTACAACAACCAAACTCGAGCTTCTGGTAACCACCACATCAAGTGTGGCGGGCGGCCTTACCTAAAGACATGTCAACTTTATCAGGTCCCTCTGAGGTGCTCCCCCGTACAGCCGAAAACCCAACGTTGCTCATACTGTGCAAATCTGGCGAATTTTATGGATAAAATTACAAACTGCGCTTCAACTCCACACTATAGCAAGCTAGCTAGCTTCGCTATCTACGTCAAATTCAACCCCCTCTGCAAACGTCTAATACACGCGCACTTGACACGAATGGCATTTTGGGATGTGTAGTTTTGATGCAAGTAATACCAAAATACCCTCTGTTACAAAACAAAAAGAACACACCACGCCAGGGTTTTGAAATACTGGGAAAGGATTTTGCGATACACGTTTACAACACTTTACAAGAATGTGTATGCATCAAATCTAAATCATTCATTGCAAACATTTCAGCCTATGGTCATTGAATAACCTCCTGGCTGACTTCAAGTTGTGCCTTGGCCTGCACTATAATATGCTGTTTTGTCACGGTTGCTTGCATTATTTAATATGTATTGAATATAAACAATTATGGATTGTTGAACTGAGTGATAGCTCTGTTTTTAATAATTGTCCTCCAATACCTCCCTCCAGTGTTGTAGCTCGAGACCACATTTTGAGTGTCTCGGTCTTGTGCTCTGTGTCAGACAGTGAGAACTCGTAATTTCTTCCCGGAGACCAGAGGAGTAAAAAACTCATAATTATCAGCTTCCATTCTATAAGCGCATAAAACCGCCAGATATATACACTCCTTTCTTGAAACAGTCTTTATATATATTATAGACATGTTTGCGCAGAGGCGAACCTATTGGACCTAGGCCTTTAGTGTGTGACAGGTTCGTGATGCTGAAAGAACAGCAACGGTAATACCAGCGCACTCATGTAGGAGAGTGCACTTTTGGTAAAACATAAAGGGCCAGTGGGGTAGTGGAGACTATACAGATGTACGCCGTATACACACTTTTTTTTCAGTGGGCATTGCTTATTGCACTTCTTAATCCCCCAGTTATGCATATATATGCATATATATGACTTATCAATTATGTAGTACAATCATGAAATCATGCACAAAGTAGCCTACACACAAGTAGCCTACACAATCGCAAAGCACGTGCAATATATTCACATGCGCGCCGCACACATAGCCATAGCCTAGTTTCAGCGGAATATCATCTGCAGGCAGCAAGAGCAGGCAGCTCTCAACTGGTTTTGGCATGGAGCAGCTCACAGAAGAATGTCATCCGTAGCCGGTAGGTAGGAAAGACGTTTCAATTTATGATATCTACCAGTAAATGCTAACTAAGGCAACAATGGGTATGCAAACCAGGTATTGAAAAAGTTTGGTCCGAAGTCTTGGTTAGTAGACTATTTGTGATGTGCAATTCAGTCATCATGAGCTGTTTGCATCAGGGGCGTAGGCAAGAGTGGGCCTGGGTGGACACAGGCCCACCCACTGGGGAGCCAGCTCCTGCCAGGCCCACCCAATCAGATTGAGCAAAAACAAAATAATAATACATTGTTATTACAAAAAACACAGTTCCACTCACCAGATGATGATAATTTGATACAACCTTTTTCTGCAGTCAATGAACAAAAGTGCCCTCTTTGGCCTCATGGGTGGAATGTTATTAATATTTTGCATAATTTCATATTTTTTTTTTTTTTTAAATACGATGGAAATCTGGTGTCTCTATGTCAAACAGTTTTGTTATATTTCAGTCTTCTGTGATGTACAGTATATTAGGGCTGTCCCTGACTAAAACAAATATTGGTCGACCGAGAGTCGTCTTGTTCTTTCGACCAATCGATTGGTCGAAATGTTTAAACTTATTTTTCCATATATAGACAGACACACTCTATGTGTTTGAATAAAATCAACTACATATGCACTGAGTTTGTCTGTTTGATTAAATAATTAAAGACACACAAATGACTCAAGAAAGAGCCCGATGGTCACACTGTGTAAAAAAAAAATGGCAGCGAGTGCCTGTGTGACTGGCGTACGTTGTCTCGCTCTCCTCCCTACTGCAGCCAAAAGGCACCACAGCACAGCAAGTGTTTATTGCGCTGTCCGTGCTGAAGCTGCAACATAATTTCAGCCATTTAGTTTCTTACTTGTTTCTGACTGAAAAGTTCTGTTACCGAAATCCCTCATTTGTTTAGGAAAAACATTCCCTCAACCCTTGCTCTCTTTCCGTGAAACATGTCAGCATCGCATGCATGTGACCAATAGGGCCTGACCTATAGCCTATCATAATCACATCAATACATTGGTTATAACAAACTCCCAGCACAGTAATGTCAACAGCAAAATGGATGCGGAGGACATGAAAAATAAACTTGAAACAGGCGAATGTTTACTTCTTGTTCAGGAGGGAAAGGAGAAGTCAGATCTGTGGAAGACATTTGACTTAGTCGTGGAAACTACTGGAGATCAAGAAAAAGGAGGGTATAGAAGCAATTATGTGTGCCAAACTGTTGCTGTTAGATTACAATATTATTATTTTTTCTGACCATTTGGAACAGTGTAAACAACACTCAATAAATAAGTTTACCAGAGAATCTGTTCTAACTGGGAAAAAAATGTATAAAGCCTTTATTACAGCAGACTAAAAACAGTCGCATGCATTCGTGTGTCACGGTTTCGGCCGAGGCTGCTCCTCCTCCTTGTTCGGGCAGGCTTCGGCGGTCGTCGTCCCCGGAGTACTAGCTGCCACCGTTCGATGTTTCATGTTTGTTTGGTTTTGTCTGTTTGTACACCTGTCCCTTGTTAGTGTTTGATTTGGTTGCCTATTTAGTTTTCGTGTGTGGGGCCAGGTGTTATGTGGTATTGTTTATTGTCAAGCTGTTGCTCTCTGTATTACTCTCGTGTTTTGTTGTTTTTCGAGAGTCCGCACTGTGTGCGCTATCGTCATTTTACGCACTGTGGTTATTGTGCGTAATTTGTATTTTGCCTCCCGGTTGGGTTGGCTGTTCGCCTGTTTGGTGCTGCTTTTGTTGACTAAAGTCTGTTCACGAACGCCCGTGTTTCCTGCGCTTGATTTCCACACCGCATCTACACTCAGCTACTGACATCGTGCATTGCGGTTTATTTATTGTTTAGGCTAATTATTTAAAGCTCCCTTTGTTATTTAATTTTAAAACTAAAATGCTTGATTGCATTTCAAAGCATGAATGTCTCGTATGCTGTGTGATGGCATGAACTAATGAATGATTGATTGATACAGTAGCCTATATATTGACATATAGGCCTAAGTAAGTTACGGTATTAAGACTAAACAGGACGCACTCTTAGGCCTACAGCTCGATGGTGGTTATACAAGGCTACTATACAAAGCCTACTAATGATAACGATATGACTTATTATAATGATGATAATAATAATAATTGTAATAAAAACAATAAGAGGGAAATCAGGAAAAAGGGTATAGGAGTGAGAGCTGCGTATTATGTGTGACAAACAGGTGCTGTTAGATTACAATATTATTTTTCTGCCTGTTTGGAACAGTGTAAACAACACTAACTAAATTATAAGTAATACCAGTCCGTTCTAACAAAACAGCAGAGCAAAGATAAACAGCCATATCTGTGAAATTGCTTTTTCCGCCATTTTGCCGTTGCATGAGGCTTGGTGCTCACAGAATTAGTAGGCTATTAAACAAACATTCAAACAGGCAACAGAAGCAAGATTTATAAAGCCAGGCACATTTAACAGTTAGGCTATTGATTATAGACCTAATTAAGTTGGAGTTTCTTCTCTCCTCAATTTTCTTAGACAATTAGGGCTGTTTCCTCGTAAGGGCTGTTTCCTCGTCTCTGCTGCTGCTGCCTCTGCTGCATTGTTCTCAATCCCAATATGCTAGTTAACTTTGCTATTATGCATATAGCAACATAGGGAAAGGTGCCAATTCTACGGCGCACTGAACATTATGTTTCAGAACCGCGGACAGATTTATTAGTGTTGCACCATTATTTTTACATAATATAACCATATACAATTTCAGTATCACATGTCTTAGAGTGATGGACTGTGCCATCCCTGTGGCCTAGAACACAAAGACAGGCGCCAATCAGAGAGGTGTCTTGTGCACCATGAAAAAACAAAACAATTGTGACTGCTCAACTAAAGAAATCTTGGTTGACCAACAACCTGTCGACCAAACAATTGACCAGTCGACTAAATGGAGTCAGCCCTACGGTATATAAAGTGTAATAATGGGACGCAACAAAAAAAAGAATACATTTAAACTCTATATCTGACATGGTACAGGTGTCTTTTTGTAAGCCCATAACCATGTGTGTGAGGTGTATTCTTTTGTTTCAAAGTAGATTTCTTTAAACTACCAAGAACCACTCTGTGTGACCCTGATTTAGCCCACTGCAGTAAAAGGTTTTACCTTCTTGTTGAAAGTTATTCTTGAAAAGGGAGAAGCTAACAAATTAGCAACAACATCGTCTTCGATAATACCTGCTGCAGCCGCTGCAAACTGGCCTACAACAAAAGATAGCTAGCTAGACCGTGGGAAAAATACTGCTTGCTATTGTGCAGTGGCCTATTGGCCTTTGAGAAGGCAGACATTTCCATACGTGTTTTTAGTAAAAACGGTCCCACCCACTACAAGTAAAAATGTGACTGGTTGATTCCACTATCACTCCAAAATGTTGCCCTAAAACAGTTGAATGGCAGATGCCTTCTGTCTAGCTTCTGATGGCCTAGCCAATGGCTGACTTAGCTAGCTAGATTTATCTCCCCAGAGACCACCAAAGAAAAATCCTGATTGGATCTTTTTTTCTCTTCAGTGTTAACCCTTTCCTTTCCAACAAAAACGGATTTCATTGAGCGCGTTGACAAAACAGACTATGGAACGCCTTTTCAAACAGAGATTTATTAGTCAAAGGTCCGCGGTGGGTCTGTGTAAACTATGCGATTATATTGGAGACCGGTTTATATCAGTGATTATAAACTGGGTAGTTTGAGCCCTGAATGCTGATTGGCTGACAGCCGTGGTATATCAGATCGTATACCACAGGTATGACAAAACATTTATTTTGACTGCTCTAATTACGTTGGTAACCAGTTTATAATAGCAATAAGGCACCTTGGGGGTTTGTGGTATATGGCTAATATACCACGGCTAAGGGCTGTGTCCAGGCACTCCGTGATGCGTCGTGCCTAAGAACAGCCCTTAGCTGTGGTATATTGGCCATATACCACACCC